CAGAGCAAGACTCTGTCTCAAAAAAAAAAAAAAAAAAAAGAAGGGAATATTAGAGACTTCAACATTAACTATAATGGTTGAAAAAAAGTTTTTTAATCTGAAGAACTAAAATATTAACATTTGCTTTAGGTGGCCTTATGTGGAGTTTTATTACATTATCCTCTATACTATTCTATAATTTGCTATTATGGTGTATAATGCATAAAAAAGGGCTTAAAGAAAACAAAACAGTAAGAACGTTCTACTCTGGGTAATGAAAACAAAGCTTTTTTTGACTGCTGCTGTACTATTTTTCAATTTTTCATAACAGATATACATTAATTTTTAAATTGAGCAAAAATCACTTTCACCAGGAAAAACATATACAGGTAGTGATTAGATTCCACATAGTTCTGGTTCACATAAATATTTAGTGTTTTTTTTTTTTTTTTTTTTTTTTTTTTTTTTTTTTTTTGAGACAGGGTTTCACTCTGTCACCCAGGCTAGAGGGCAAGTGGCATGAGCATGATCTCAGCTCACTGCAACCTCTCCCCTCCAGGCTCAAGCAATCTCCCCAACTCAGCCTCCCAAGTAGCTGGGACGACAGGTGCATGCCACCACACCCAGCTAATTTTTGTATTTTTTTGTAGAGTTGGGGGTTTCACTATGTTGCCCAAGCTGGTATCAAACTCCCGAGCTCAAGCAATCCAGCAGCCTCAGCCTTCCAAATTGAAGTATCTGATTTTTAAAGTTCTTGCAAACATGACATCTGTACTCTTGCTTCTCTGATAAAATATTCTGAAAGCTCTAAACAACTAAAATACAAACCCATTTTGGAGATCCTTAAATTTGGGGTAAAATATAAATGTCCCAATGGAGAAAACAAAACTTTCTTCTATAAACGATTCTAGTCTTTGAGAAAGGAAAAGGCAAGGGGTTCCACAACTTTAGTCACAATCTATAATTGTACAGAAGTACACAGAATGCATAAGAAACAAGGCTAGAAGCAGTGGCTCACACCAGTAATCTCAGCACTTTGGGACGTCAAGGCAGAGGACTGCTTGAAGCCAGGACGAGTTCAAGACCAGCCCGGGCAACAACATAGTAAGACCCTGTCTTTATTTTTTAAAAATAGATTAAATTTTTTTAAAAAATAAAGCATAAAAAACAAATCTGATGTGCATTCCTCTATGAGTTCTTATATCATCAAAATAAATATTTTATGAAAAGCATTTCAAATTGGCATTATAATGAGAAAGTTAAAAACCTAAATTGTATTCTGTTTCATTAGAAAACAATATTGAAATTTTTGTTATATGTAATGAATACTGGTCAAATAACCTCACCAAAGCTCAGTTTTCTCATCTGTAAAATGAGCATCCTACCAAGCCTATCACAAGGGGTAATAGGAAATCAAATACAATAAGTAACTTCAATCAGCAAAAAACTCACAGGTCCACTTTTTTGGAGTGCAGAGAAAGCAGTAAGTGCCAGGTCCTATGCCTAGCCATGGCTGCCATTAGTGGTAAAATTAAACTGAATATAGGAAGCTTCATTTGATCACCAAAAGAAAAAAGTAAATAGATTTAAAAGATAGCAACTATAATATAATAAAATTATATAAGAAAATAGCCCCTCTGGCTGGGCGTGGTGGCTCACACCTGTAATCCCAGCACTTTGGAAGGCTGAGGCAGGCAGATCACAAGGTCAGAAGTTTGAGACCAGCCTGGCCAACATGGTAAAACCCCATCTCTACTAAAAATACAAAAATTAGCTGGGTGTGGTGGCACGTGCCTGTAATCCCAGCTACTAGGGAGGCTGAGGCACGAGAATCACTTGAACCCAGGAGGCAGAGGTTGCAGTGAGCTGAGATCGCGCCACTGCACTCCAGCCTGGCAAAAGAGCAAGACTCCATCTCCAAATATAGAAAGAAAGGAAAACAAAAAAAAACAGCCCCTCTTTCTAATGAACAGACACAAAAAACTTTCAATGCACAGACGAGTGTTATCAGAACCCAGTTAACCAAGTAACCAAGCCAAATAAACCTAGCAGTCAGGAAGGCTAAGAGCCCAAAAGCTCCCGGTCTACAGGATTGCCACAATGGCTTTAAAATTAAACAAGTAACAGAAGGATAAATACCCACAAAATTTCAAACCATGTCTTACCAAGGTGATGTCTCGGGAAGCTGCAGCAGCGCTCATATGCAAACTAGGCTGCCTCACAGAACTGCTGCAATCCAGGGCTCTAGCGAATGTCCCAACAGCACTGAATAAACCACAAACACAATAAGGAAGAAGTAAGTATCTAGTTTTTTTTTCTTTTAATGTTTTAAAAAACACATTTGGATCATGAATAAAAAACCGTAAAAGAAAAAGCAAATACAAGTTTCTGAATGTTTGAGATTCAAACATCAAATAAAAAGAATTTTCACTCTATAAGATATTATAATATAAAAATTGACAAGCCAATTTACTATAAACAGGTCATTATCATGAAATCAAGAAAAAATAGCCTGTGCAGGGGGGGAAAAAGAAGGAAAGGGAAGCTCTATCATAAAATGTCATGGAGTAAAACATTTGGTATTCAAATTCGCTCAAAAAATAAAAAGTCAGCTGCAGAGTTTGACTATTACAAGCAAGTTTTGACCATTTTTTAGCCCAAATTGTGAAACTCAGTAACATTTTTTTCCCCAATATATCATTAACTGTAGCAACCCTTTCCTGTGAGGGTTCAACATGAAACATATTTCTACTAATAACTCATATAAAAAGAAATTACCATAATGCTGATTTTAATGATTTAGAAGTCCTTCCAATATATAAGAAACCTTAACTTTAAGACATACAGCATAAAATGAAGACTCACGACTTTTCCTGCCTGTGTTTTAAACATGTTTTTTATGGAAGAGATTTTTTATTTTTATTATTTTTATTTTTTGAGACAGGGTCTCACTCTGTCACCCAGGCTAGAGTGCAGTAGTGTGATCATAGCTCACTGTAGCCTCAACTTCCTGGGCTCAAACAATCTTCCCACCTCAGCCTCCCAAGTAGCTGGAACTACAGGCATGCACCACCATGCCCAACTTTTTTTTTTTTTTTTTTTTTTGGGCTAATTAAAAAAAATTTTTTGTAGTCAAGGCCTCCCTATGTTGGCCAGGCTGGTCTCAAACTCCTGGGCTCAAGTGATCCTCCTGCCTTGGCCTCCCAACGTTTTGGGATTACAGGCATGAGTCATTGTGGTTGACCCCAAGGAATAAATTTTATAAATATTTTAACTAAAACACAACATTCATGTTGAAAAGTACACAATGTAGATAGTTACTGTAAAGTGAACACATGCATGCCACCAACATACAGTTCAAGAAAGAACATGACCACAACCCAGAGGCTCCTCAAGCTCCTTTCCACAGGGAACCACCACCCTGGATTGTAGCACCACAGATTAGTTTTGCTCAAATAGAATCACACAGCTGGACTTTATGTCCAGCTTCTTTCGATTAAAACTATGTTTGTGGATTCATCCATGTTGCTAGCTACAGCTGTATTCACTCATTTTCCCTGCTATGCAACATTCTGTTGTACGATGTCTCATCCCCACCTCCACTCTACTGCTGACAGACATTCTGTGTTGTTTCCAGTTTGGGGTTACTATGAATAGCGCCATAAATCCATTTGTATACGTGATCTTTTGGTGCAAAAGTGTATGCATTTCTGCTGCATAGATATTTAGGAGTGAAACTTAAGAGATATGTGTGTTAGATGACAGCAAACAATATTCCAAAGGAGCTGTACCAATGTACACCCCCACCAGCAGGATACGAGAGTATTGGTTCTAAATCTTGATCAATGCTTAGCACTGTCAGTCTTTAAAATTTGAACCCTTCTGGGTTGGCAGTGGTACTTGACTGTGGTCTTAATTTGTATTTAGAAGATCTTTTTTTTTTTTTTTCCTTTTGACACAAAGTCTTGCTCTGTTGCCCAGGGTGGAGTGCAATGGTGCTATCTCGGCTCACTGCAACCTCCGCCTCGCAGGTTCAAGCGATTCTCCCACCTCCATCTCCCAAGTAGCTGGGATTATAGGCACCCACCATCATGCCCAGCTAATTTTTTTTCTATTTTTGTGGAGACGAGGTTTCACCATGTTGGCCAGGCTAGTCTTGAACTCCTGACCTAAGGTGATCCACCTGCCTTGGCCTCCCAAAGTAGTGAGATTACAGGCGGCATGAGCCACTGTGCCCAGCCTTTTTTTTTTTTTTTTTTAAAGAGAAGAGGTCTTACTATATTGCCCAGGTTGGTCTCAAACTCCTGGACTCAAACAATCCTCCTGCCTTGGCCTCCCGAAGTGCTGGGGTTACATGCATGAGCCACCATTCCCAGCCTAGAAGATTATTTTTTAAAACAAATATTGAAAACAAAAACATACTAGGAACCAACTCCTTAGTGTCCTTCATGCTGGCTTTGGGGGGAAACATATGGCCCTTGGCAATCAGAAAAATGAAAAAACAGAATACAAATCAAATTTGAAAACAGGAATGTCTCCTAACCAATCCCCAGTCTAGACAGCCTGTCTAGAGACTCTAGACCAGTACTGTGTACTCTACAAGGGGCCACAAGATTGGCCCCCTTCGCAATGCACATCAAGTGTCTCCATCCAATCGCTTAGTAGTTAGGTGGTGGGCTCTGGACTCCAAATGCCTGGCCACCAATAAAAAGTGTGACCGTCCATGGTAACTGGCTCTATGAACAGTGAAGTCTAAGGATGAGCCAAGACTATTTTTCCCTCTGTATTGTGAAATAAGTTCAAAACAAAATCAGACAATAACATAAGACCCTTGCATCTACTGTCCAGATCTAACTCATATTAATATTTTGCAATATTTCTTCATTCTTTTAAAAAATAATTATAAATTTGTTAGAGTTCCCTATATATACTCCTAGATCAAATATATATAATATATATATATACACCCATTTAATGTATTTAAAAATCCACTAATAAAGCATTGTTTTGTACACAGCAAACATTTTATAAATAATTACTCTGTATGCACATAAATGATCACATGGTATATACCCTCATCATTATTTGTGATGTTTATCGCTTTGCTACATATAGCTTTAATTCATTCAATTGCCATAAAGTAATATTTCACTATATAAGTATACCTCAGTTCATTCACCAATTGCTTGGTAATGTACTTTTACTGTTATCATTTTTAAAATAAAAACAAAATTTTGTCCCATTCATTCTCTTAAGAAAAGGGAAGGAAGGAAGGAAGGAAGCAAGTCAGCCAGGCAGCCAGGCTGCCAGGCTGAAAGCTCTCAAGGGAAAGCACTATGCTTAGCAACAGACCCTACTCACACACGGATGCGGTGAGCGAATTCCAGGTGCACATTCTTACTGATACCTGAATAATCCATGTCCAGAGTAAAGCCATGTCAAGTAAAAAGGATGACTCTTTTCATTAAGGATATGGGACTTCAGGTATTTTCTTCAGGTATAAAGAATTTTTTTATACTTTTCTGTTTTCTTAATCAGTAAAAATTAATACAACTATTTTCACTTAAAACAGAAACTAATAAATTTAGGAAGCAGTATAATTAAGCTTTCTTACATAACTAAAAAATAATTCAATCAGTGGGGGGAAACCAGAATACAAAGAAATAAAAATACATATACCTATAAATTCGTTTATATAAAGAAATTTCTTGACTTGATAATGCCATACTCGTACTCACCGTGCTACAACTAAAAACTGGTCAATCTGTCGATCTGTAAGTGGGCTATTTGGATCCCAAACTTTAACTTCCAACTTTGACTGTTCCCTCTCATCTGATTCACCTGTCCAAAAATAAATAAAATGGAGTCTTGTTACTGACAAGGCGCACTGTCTCATACCACTGATGACAACGGTCACCACAGCATTAGAAATGTTTACATGTAAGGTAAGTGCCCATAGTTTTGGCACATTCTTTCAGACGCAGATGTACAACACCTCATTAAAGTGAACACTGACGATAATAACACCAAACTAACCGAATGGTATCTTCATTTAGTCCTTAACGTCTGTTTCTGGAGTACCTGTATGCGAGAGGCAGTAAGCGCCATGCTGAGAGACATAAAGATGAAAAAGCAACAGGCTGGGTGCGGTGGCTTGCACCTGTAATCTCGGCTCTTTGGGAGGCCGAGGCGGCCAGATCACTTGAGGCCAGAAGTTCGAAACAAGCCTGGTCAATATGGAGAAATCCTGTATCTACTAAAAATATAAAAACTAGCTGGGAGTGGTAGCAGGTGCCTGTAATCCCAGCTACTCGGGAGGTTGAGGCACAAGAATCGCTTGAACCCGGAAGGCAGAGGTTGCAGTGAGCTGAGACTGCACCACTGTACTCTAGCCTGGGCAACAGAGTAAGACTCTGTCTCAAAAAAAAAAGGAAAAAAGAAAGAAAGAAAGCATCACTTCCACAAGATGCTTAAACTATGCATAAATACCTATGATATAAAGCAAATAAATAGCATAAGAATAACATATTAATAGTTAATAGCATAAGAATCTGAAGAATAGAGAAATCATTTCAAGCTAGGTAAGAAACAATGTCATGAAGGAGATGGCATTTCACCTAAGAACTAAAGGGTATGAATGCACCAGCAGGGGAAGATTTTTTAAAAAAGAAATGAGAACATGAACAAAGTCATGGGGCATTAAAATGTCACAGAAAAGTAGCTCATAATGTCTGGAGTACTTTATGGAATGAGAGAAGATAGCTAAGAGAAGTGGGTTATGAACACATTACTGGAGATCCTACATAGATGTTTTTTGAAGAGATTTTATATTAGAAGCCCTTGATTTTTCTGGTAAGGGAGTGACAAGAGCAGAACCAAACTTCCACTTTCAAAGCATAATTTCCTCTGCAGAGATACCTGATAAAGACAGAGAGACATATCAGCCTCCTTTAACAGTTCCCTCACAAGTAGTGAGGGGTTTTGGTTGAGACTGGTAATAGAGCACAAAGAGAGGAGATTCGGGAATGTCAGTGACAGACTGGATGTAGAGTGTAGATTTCAAGTTTTGTGAGCTGTACTCATAGCATTGGCATTAGCAGAAAGAAGGAGGCTGGGCATGGTGGCTCACACCTATAATCCCAGCACTTTGGGAAGCTGGGGAGGGAGGATTACTTGAGCCCAAAAGTTCAAGACCAACCTTAGCAACACAGTGAGACCCCATCTCTACAAAAAATAAATAAAATTAGCCATGCGTCGTGGCACCCGCCTATAGTCCTAGCTACTTAGGAAGCTGAGGTGGAAAGGCTGCTTTAGCCCAGGAGGTCAAAGCTGTAGTGAGCCATAATCACACCACTGCATTCCAGCCTGGGCATCTCAAAACAAAACAAAACAAAAAAAGATACACAAACAGGAGGTTAGGGCCAAGAGAAGACTGACAATAATGCCGAATGCTTTGCTTTAGAATATCTCACAAACAGATAACTATTGAACAAGAGTCAATGTTAGGACAAATGATTGTAATGAAAAGTAGACTTGGGAGCCAATGGAATTTTTATTTATAGTTATGGATTCTTACTAGAATAAGAGCTCTTTAATGATAGCGACTGCTTTTGCCTTTGTTTTGCTTTTAATCACTGCATCTATAACATTAGGCCTTGCAGCGGCTAGCATAATACTCTGAAGCCAAACATTCCCCAGTGACTGACAAACCCAGGCTATGGGCCACCTAGTATAGAAGCAAGCAGATACCAATGGAAAGGACAGGACAGAAGCAGGCGTTCCATCTGCAGCCTCTTAAGTCAGGCCACTGCTGTTAGGTTGAAGACCTGCCCATTTGTCTCTGGTCAAAAGGCAGGTAACCAGAGAGCCAACTGCCAACCCCAATATAAAATGACATAAACAGAGCAGAGTAGAGCTAGTACTAGGTCAAAAACATCTAAGGTTTGAAAGGACTTCATTCTTTGTTTTGTTTACAATTCTTAGCATGCTAAGACAAGACACTCAACATTAGGGTCATTTTCAAAGACCAGTTAAAAATCAAAAAGTTGCAAGCCACATGAAACTTGAGAATGGAGAATGACACAATTAACCTGCCCATGTCTTTTTAAAAATAATTTAAATAAGGATAGATAGTAGTGGTAAAACATTTGAAATCTACATCTTAAATAACACACAAGAAATGATGTTGCTATTCAGTTTTAAGCCCCTTCTGTTGTATACTCCCGAACGTAAGACTAAAATTGATGTTTATTTTTCAAATTCAAATCAGTCAAATTGATACATTTTAATTCCACCCATACAGTCTGCAGCATACAGCAAAAGTAAGACTTAGAAGAATTCTAAATAAATTCACTGTAAACAATAAAACTCTCTTGAAAGCATTTATACTAACACCAAAAACATAGAACCATGGGCTGAGAAGAAAAATAGCAAGAAGAACAAAAAATAAATACAGAAATTCTCTATATCAAACGATCATTTCAAACTAAGAGGAGATTCCCATTTTGAATAGACCAAATAATTACATTCATATCAGCTTGATCACTTCTTCACATGGAAAAAACTTTTTAAAAGCTCTTGAATGAACTTATTTAGAATTTTATAATTAAATTTTTTTCAGCTACGCTAGCAGCAGCCTTTGGAACGGCCCTGGTTACAATGGAATGAGCCAAAAACTGAACTAAGATTAATTCCATGTTAATGTTCATTCCAGTCTTTATAATAATCTCCCCTTCCTCCTCCACGTATGATAATCTGGACAATTCCAATCTGCTCACGTGTCATATCATCAAAAAACACAGACCGTGACGATCTCCCCTAACCTCTAAATTCCTACAACTGTATTTCCCAACTAAATGTGTGATTGTATACAGCTTCCTATTTTTGCTTCATTTAATTTTGAAGAAATGTAGACCCAGCAACTATTTTAAATGTTAGCCCTAACCTTCCAGTTATATTTTTAAATCTCTAGAAAATACTGACAAAGTACTTCTTAAGAATTTTGAGGCCGGGCGCAGTGGCTCACGCCTGTAATCCCAGCACTTTGGGAGGCCGAGGTGGGCAGATCACAAGGTCAGCAGATCGAGACCATCCTGGCTAACACAGTGAAACCCCGTCTCTACTAAATATACAAAAAATTAGCTGGACGTGGTGGCGGGCGCCTGTAATCCCAGCTACACTGGAGGCTGAGGCAGAAGAATGGCATGAACCCGGGAAGCAGAGCTTGCCGTGAGCCGAGATCGCGCCACGGTACTCCAGCCTGTGCGACAGAGTGAGACTCCATCTCAAAAAAAAAAAAAGAATTTTGAGCACAGAGTGTTGTTCAAACACTCTGAAGAACTAAGGATTCCGAAAGGTCCTTTCCTAGGCAATTTGAAACATTCTTTGTTCCAAATACAATGCGTTTTCTTTGCACCAGCCATCAGAGTACTATGCTTTTTATATGTAATTCAGAAACACTCAAGGATGTCTTTTATCACCATTTTTGCTCAATCTTGTTCTGAAAGTTCTGGGCAACATATTAAGTTATGAATCAAAAGAATAATAAGTTACTATAACTTTTAAAAATTATAACTTTTAAAAATTATATTGACAATAAATTATATTGTCAAAACATTCATTTTGACAATAAAAATATAAAACACTGGGAAATAAAATTGGAGATTTTATATAAAGAAATTTCAAAATTTTCAAAAGAAGATGAGATGATTGAGTAAATAAAAAAGCAAGGCCAGGGTGCAGTGGCTCACATCTGTAATCCCAGCACTTTGGGAGGCCAAGGTAGGAGGATCATTTGAGGCCAGGAGTTTAAGAGCACACTGGTCACACTATATGGAGTCCCAGTTTCTACTTCTAAAATAAAAATCAAGAAGTGAGGTGAAACCAGAATATTTCACCTCAAAATATACTTCTTCAGCATATTTCTAGATGGCTATTCTGAGATCAATAAACACAACAAGAGTAGCCAGCCCTGAAAGGCTGCCTTTTATGGGGGGAGATCTGCATACGTAGAGGAAATCTACATTAGTGAAGTAAACCGCAAATGCAAACAGGATTTCTCTGAGGCCCCTTTAAATGAATCTAAGACAGACTAACTTACAGGAAAAAGAGACCAAAGATCTGACATAGACACTTCACCCCAAGCTACACCTTTCTGAGAGCAGCTTGGAGATTACCTCGGAGGTTCATCCACATAACAAGGTAGCCATGCAGCCTTTGCTAGCCCTGCTCTCCCGTAACCTGTGTCACTACCTCCCCTCACTCTATTCTTTTTTTTTTTTTTCTTGTTGCCCACACTGGAGTGCAATGCTGCGATCTCGGCTCACTGCAACCTCCACTTCCCGGGTTCAAGCCACTCTCCTGCCTCAGTCTCCCGAAGTAGCTGGGATTACAGGTGCCCACCACCACGACCAGCTAAATTTTTTGTATTTTCAGTTGAGATGGGGTTTCACCATGTTGGCCGGGCTGGTCTTGAACTCCTGACCTCAGGTGATCCACCTGCCTCGGCCTCCCAAAGTGCTGGGATTATAGGAGTGAGCCACCACACCCCGGCCTCTTTTTTTTTTTTTTTTTTTTTTTGAGACAAGGTCTCGCTCTGTCACCCAGGCTGGAGTATAGTGGCACACAACCACAGCTCACTGCAGCCTCCACCACCTGGGCTTATGCAATTCTCCAGCCTCAGCCTTCTGAAGTAGCTGGGGCTACAGGCGTGCACCACCACGCCCAGCTAATTTTTTGTACTTTTAGTAGAGACGGGGTTTCACCATGTTGGTCAGGCTAGTCTCGAATTCCTGACCTCAAGTGATCTGCCAGCCTCAGCCTTCCAATTCCAAAGTGCTGGG